AGAGGGCTCACGAAAGCGGTTTGTGCTGAGGGGATCACGGGAGGTGGCGGGGGAGGGGGAGGTCCTGAGGGGCTGTAATACTCCATGATCTGGGCTGGGAGCATCCTGAAGAGAGAGGAAACACACAGTCACCGAGGCAGCAACACGGGAGGTTCTGACGCGCCTGAGAGACAGGCCTCCCCCAAACACCACATGCACAGGCATCCGACCTGACACACTGCGGGAAGCTTCCCACAGGTCTACGTCGCCCACGTGAAAGGCGACCACCCAGAAAGTGACTTTCTGTCTGTGACTAGGGGCACGAACGCGGCCTTTCTCCTGGGTGGGTCACAAACGAGGGTTCTGCGGCTGGATTTGGAAAATGCCGTGTGTCACATGCCACCCCCTGGGACGTCCCGAGCCCGCAATACACGCTATAGAAAATCAGAGCTCTGAGAGGTCTGACAGCCAAGCAATGTGCTGGATTCTGTTTGGCCGAGCGTTTTCCAGAGCAGCTGGACCCCAGACCCCAATTCTGCCCGACACTCAGAGCTCGGAACAGGCTCTAGGGACCCCGAGCTAACGGGAGCCCACGGATGGGAACACCCTGGCCGGGTGGCCAGGTTGGACACCTGACAGCCGGGGGACACTCGTTTGGAAAGTGACACACACTGGACTGAAGAAAGCACATGTTAATGGGGCCACATATTCGCTCTTCTGGGCACTGACTCTGAGGGGGCTGACTCCGTAAAGACTGGGGTCGGCCCCCCACAATGAGAGCTAAGACAAAGGTGGGCGCTTAAACCCCCAAACGCGTGGACGTGAGGGTCTTCCGTAGGCGGTGTCTGAGTTTTACCCACGTGACCACAGCCAAGAGGACACAGCGAGATGGCAGAGTGACACCCGAGGGTTCGGGACAGGCTCACAACACGAGTGTCCTCCCCGTCATCGACACCTGGCCGAACGGGTCAAACGTCCGAGGGACTGGGGACACGTGAACACAGACACCGCCTGTGCCGGAAAGGGGGTCGGGCGTCGCTGCATTTTCTCATGCGGGTTTTGTCACAGCGGAGTCTCTGTGTCACTCCGGGCCGCGACCCGGCCTCTCGATTGGAACGTTCCCCTGCCGCACACGCAGCAAGATTCCGCCGCACGGGGAGCCGGGCTTACCCGTAG